CTCGCTCTCCGGTGCGATGCCAGGGCAGGAGTGCAGGCTTCGGGGTTCACTCATCGATTCCCTGTGTGGCTTTGGGTGGCGTGCTCAAATTTTTCCATGCCTTTGTTTTTTATGGTGTGCAACCCAGGATGAACACCCCTCTCTCCAGGGTAATTAATGAACTGCAAAGTGCTTTGATGTCTTCAGAGGGAAAGTACTGGCCAAGGGAGGCTGTGATTGCTGGGGGAGGGAGATGTAAGTATCCAGCCTGGGACACAGCTGGGACCTGAGTCTAGCAGGGTTGTTGAAGGCCACTTGGGTGAAATTTTCTGTGGGTCTGGAACCTTAATCAGCACTTAAACCTACACAATCATCCCGGGACAGATTAAGCAAATGTGTGTGAAACCATGTGGGCAAGCTGTTGTTGAAGGAAAGCAAGTGTAGAGAGAGAGAACAGCGCTGGAAGGGGCAGCTACAGACCTTGGCATGGTGTGTGCTCCCCATGATACAGGCTGGCCCTCTCATGCTGAGTGAGTGCTACTGGCTTGATCCTGTCCTGCAGCCCAGATATGCTTTAGGGCTCTTCAAAGGGATAAAGATGTATTTTTAACTTCAGGCATCTGCCTTTTTGTGCAGTGCTTCTTTCTTGTAGCTCTGGAAATGGCAGGTTGTTTTTAAGCCCCTCTGTTTCTCAGCCATCTCAGTGGAGGTGCCTAGAGGTCTAAAACCAGATTCCCCAAAAAATTTCAGCACTGGGAATTGGTAGCTGCTTTTGAAAATGTTGGCGAGGCTGTGGAGCTCCCTACAGATGTTAGCTGATGGCCATTTGAACATGCTTTCACCTCAGCCAAGTCCTCGCCCCATTGAAGCCAATGGGAATTTTCCTTGAAAAAGGCCATAAAGAAATCACTTTCTTGGCATGGAGAGAGGTGTTTCATGGGCTCCACATCAGTGTTCAGGAGAACTTCAGCTATCTGCTTTGATTCCTGCCGCACTTGTCCCACCCTGCACAAAGTGCTCTACCTTTTGATCCAAAATAGCACAGGAGATGTTTTCCACATGCCATAGGAAAATGGAAGAACTATAAAACTTAATTGTTTTGGAGTTTGGCACCACTCTGTTCACAGATATTTAGTGTGAATTGAAATTGGTCAGCAGAAGGGTGTTTGCCAGGATGACAAGTGGATTAGGGCTGTATATCTGTGGAAACTGCATAACTGCCCATCCCGTGCTGGTAGGGTTGATGGATGGCTTAACTGGTTCATGGATAGTCAAAAGCAAGCGTGCACAACTTCTTTTGGGCAATGTTAAGAAGCGTTATCTGGCTATAAGAGTCAAACAAGGCCTTTTAGCATTCTGTGTTCTCCCAGCCTTGAGGCTTGATGTCTCCGGTATGGAGGCCAAGTATGTCTCTTGTCATTGCTCCCTGGTCCATTTGCTCTTTGAAATGTGGTTCATCACACCTGATGCTCAGCCTCCTCCCATGCACACAGCTTGTCTGTGAAGGAAACACCAGTGCTTTGCACATGGTGCCAACCTCTTCTGTCCCGTCTCCCTTCCCTGGTGACTGAGCCATCCCTGCAAGCCCCAGGTCAGGAGAGCTCCTCTGAAGAGCAGCACTGGATTGGGGAGAAGGAAAAGCTGTGATGAGGCTCTGGCAATCAGCCCCAGGTGGATCAGCCCAGCTTAGCAGCAGGGCAAAGGTATGGCTCATGGTTGCTGGCTTGGCCTTTCAGAGGAGAGCTTGCAGTCAATAGCAGCTAGACCTTCCTGGTCTCTGCTCTTTGATGGTGCCTGGGGAGCCAAGACCAATCTCTTCTGTCCCTGGGTGTGTTCATGCACATGGGCTTGCACGCTCTGCTCCCATCGGTGGTTTTCTTTGGTCTGATATTTGTTAGTATTGGAAAGTGAGAAAAATGAGTGAAACTATTATCAGAAGCAGGTTTTGTGAATGAATCAGCCGACAAGAGGCTTACCAGCTAGCCTTCATTTACTAGCGCAGTGCTTATTTGGGCAGATGTCTATATATTTTAGTTGGAGGCAGGAAGGAGTGAGAATCGATGGGGGAAGGCACTGCTTCCAGTTTGCTGCTTTTCCATCAGTTTGTACCATTGGTTTTCTGAATGAAGCAGGGGACTGCAATGTGTCTGAGATGCTGTCTGCTGCTGTGCTTGTTCTTCTGCTGTTGTTGACAGCTTGGTGGGACACCAAGGAGAGGAACATGAAAGATGTCAGAAGGCTAAAAACCCTCCTAAGCAGCTCGTGGAGAATCGGAGCCTGAACAGCCTTGTCCGTCTCTTGCACACTGCTTTTTCATTTGATCCTGTCTGAAGGGCGGCCTCATGGCCTTCTCTCTTCTCACTATGTGTTTCTAATTAACGGGGAGACTGGTGAATAAACAGAAGACTCCTGCTCAAAATATTCCTTGTCCGGCTCCTAGGATGACGGCCAGACGGCAATCGCCAGGCAGCAGCCCAGACTTTGAGCTTGCCCATCTGGCTATCAAACCTGGTCCCAGTTCTCATCTGGAACCAGTATTGAGGAAAGTCATGGACTTTGCCAGAGTGGTTTTGCCTTGTGTTTGCTTTTCAGTTGCTACCTAAGCAGCTAAAAACCTGCAGACCAAATGCATTTAGTATTTCTGGGAAGTGGGATGATCCCAGTATTGGAAGATCCGAGGCCAAAATGGTGAGGAAGTTCAAAAGGGTGTTGGACAAATCCATTGAGGGATGGGTCTGTCAGTGGCTTTTAAATCCTGTGGGTCAGGTGCCGTCTCCAGCCATGAAAATGCTTTTGCTGCTGATCTGTAGCACAGATTGGGAATGGTCCTTCTGATGCATGTTCCCAAGCAGCTGCTGATGGTCTTGGGTGGATAGCATGCTGGGCTGGGGTGACACATGGGCTGTTCTCTTGCTATCAGTCTGCAGGCAACTGCACATTTGCTGAGTAAGTTCAGACAAAACTCTCTGGTGTGAGCCTGGGCTTGTAACACCTGAAAAGAGCTTGAAAAGCTGTAGCAGAAATAAAACACTTGCTATTATGGTTTTTCATTCTGTCATGACAGTAGAGCTATGCCCTGACAAAACATCACAATGCAGCTTCTGCAAAAAAAGGAAATGTTAAAATCTGTAAATGCTCTCTGTACTTGGTCTTTCAAGAAGCAGGAGAGATCTAAAAGCATTGTTATGAGCTAAAGCATTGCTTGCCCTCCATTGTGCACAGTGCGATATAATTTCTTTACTTCTATAGAAGTGCCTGAGTGAATGCTGGAGAGCTGAAATTGGAGGTACCAGAGAGAATGCTGATGTTGGGAGGCTGGGTGCTATAGTTCCTCCTTAGCATATGCGGAGAACACTACATATTTGTCACCACTTTAGGACCAGAATGGCCTGGTCTGTCACTGGTGTGGGACCTGAGGAGCTCCTGAAGATTCCTGAAGAGGTGCTATATAGAGAGACAAACTTAGCCTGGCTTATTGCAGCGAGCGGTGATGTGCGTGTGTGGGTCAAATCATAATTTGGGCTGGAAAGAACTTCTGGAAGTCTTGGTCCAAGCCTCTCCTTTAAGCAGGGCCAGCTTCAATGTTAGGTCCAGCTACAGTGTTAGATGTGCTTGCCCAACCAGATCAGACCAAGCACCAAGGAGGTGTCTGCTGTCAGGTTCTGGAGCAAGCAGGAAGAATTGAGATCTGTCCTCATTGACACTGCAAAGTCCAAAGGGACTGGTCTTTGCAGCATCGTGACCATCATGTCCTACTTTGGCACGGATTGCTCCTAGAAACAGCACCCAGTGAACTGGGAAAATGCACAAACATCATGGAGGAGGTGGAAAAAGTCCAGTGTTTATCCACGTGTTTCAGCTTATTGGTTCAAAAACTGATTTTTGAAATGGTTGTATTAGCTGGGGATCTTACGGCTTAGGGCAGTGGCAGAGTTGGGCCCAGGACACGTGGGGCTGCTCCGTGGTCAGCAGAAGTGGCCAAATGCAGAAGTAGGTAGAAGCTAAACGAGTAATGCGCTGTATGACGAATGATGTGAAAGGTGATAGGGCAAGGATGATCACTGAAATGGCAGGATCTCTGAGGGAAATTAGGATGGCCATAAAACAGAGGCAAGGTATTTTTGAAAGCAGGCCTGATTTAGCACACTAATATTGAGTAAGTATCCTGGAGATACTCCGGGGGATGATAGATAGACTCAAGGTATTGTTACTAATCACTGTGGTTTTAAGTTTTGGAGCTGAAGTACATTTGGCATCCCTAACCCAACTGGACTTCTGATGGGAAAATTACATTCTTCGGGAAGTAATTTAGAAGGTCAAAAAAAAAAAAAAGAAACCCAGAAAGAACTTCTCCAGCAGCGATTTCCCCTGCTCTCTAAACTGTCTTTTAGTGTGGTAATAACTCCAGAATGAAAGGATTTATTCTCACCTTCCAGATGAAAGGGCTAATGCAATTTAAAATTTTTGCATGAAAAGGCTTTATGGCTTGGTAACCAGCCATGCTTGAAAGCAATCCAGGATGGGATGAACACGTGAGGTTGCGCCTGGCTGAGCTTGACCCTTTCCTTGTCTGCCCTGTCTCCTACAGATAATGGTGATGACCGGTCCGAGAGCATCCTTGCTGAGAACCACGTGGATGGCACCACGGGGATCCTGAGTGGAGCCAGTGGGAGGAAGCCGATGAAGACGGGCATGAAGGAGCTGGCGGTTATGAGGGAGAAGGTGAACGAGCAGCAGCGGCAGATGGGCAAAGTCGGCAAGCCCCATCACAACCATGAGGACTCAAAGAAGTCGCGGCTGTCGACGGGCAGGGTGAGAGGGCAGGGGGGATGGGGAGCAAATGAAGGCAGCTGTGGGCTTGCTGGGAAATGCTGAATGCATTAGTGACATCTGCAACAAACTGTCTTAAAAAGAAAAAAGTGGGGAGAGGGGGAGAGAAAAAAAGGAAAAGCAAACGTTTGTTTTGGCCTGAAGCTGGGGCTGAACACACCATCTGATGAACTTTGATGTGCTGGCGAGGAGACGTTATTTTCATTGCTGCTTCACCTCCTGGCAGCAGAGCTGGGGAAGGGGGGTCCCGCTGGCTGCCACCCACCTCTGCAGGGGTGCGAGTGTGTCCTTTGCCTGCAGACTGGCTTTCTCACACCCTTTTCCCCTAAGCAAGTGCTAGGGATGGCCCAAGGGGATTTGCGGGGTGGGAGGGTGTCTGCCTGCTACAGGGTAGCCCCAGTCCGGGCTGAGGGGGCCCAGAGCCCCCGAGGATGGGCTGTAGGGCTGTCACATAGTAGGGAAGAGTGCCCGGAGTCCTCCCTGTCCCTTTCTTCCCTGTCTCTCTGCTCTCCAGTCCTTGGCCGTGGTTTCCCTCTAGTGGGCAGTTTGGTCAAGGCAACTAGATGGGATGGGGATGGAAAGCCGTGGCAAGAGGTCCATAATACATACATATCTCTCTAAACATACAGGGTATTGACATCTGAGGAGTGCAGGGATAGAAAAGGGCTTTAAAAGAGAGCCCTCATCCCCTCCAAGGAACAGGCAAAGCAAGGGTTCGAAATAAGGTGCAGGCACCGTCAATTTAGAGAGCGCTCACACTGCTGCTGTTCCTTTGGAGAAAAAAACAAAACAAAAACACCAAAAAACAGCAACTGCAAAAGCAGAGAGGTGTGGACTCACTCCGGCTCACATCAGGCATAATTCAACCAGGCTGTCTTGGCTGGGAGCACTGGCTTGGGACTGCTGTGGAGCAAGAGGGATGCCTCCAGAGGTTGGCTTTGCTGGGTGCTCTCATTCCCAGGGCTTCCCCTCCACTCCCATGGGGTCTCACATGCTTTAAGTTGCACTTCTGGGCCAAAACTGCATCACGGGTGTGGGATCTGGGCTATGCTCATGGAAATCCTCCTGGTCTGTCTGGATTAGTCCTGCTTCGCATCACTTGTCACTACCAGTGGGACCCATGGGAGCATCTCTAAGGCTTCTCCTTTCTGCCTTCAGGGCCTGTGACCTGGTGTCATGTTGGCTCTTGGCCATGTGAGGCACATGGGAGAGATGTGCATGTCTCCCTATGTGGCTCTCCACACATTGGCATGTGCAGACATGCAGCACTCTGATTTTGGGTGCCTGCAGGTGAAGTCTGCGGCAGGACTCAGTGGTAAACCTGTGTCATGAGCAGATGCACACAGGTGTTCATCCTTACTGGTGTTTCTGTTGTCCAGAGTGTTGACTTTGAATGGTCCTATTGCCCTGACTTTTTTTCTTTTGTTTTCTGGGCTCTTTCCAGACCCCTTGTCAGCAGGAGCTGGATCAGGTCCTGGAACGCATCTCCACTATGCGGCTGCCGGATGAGCGAGGTCCCCTGGAGCACCTCTACTCCCTCCACATCCCCAACTGTGACAAGCATGGCTTGTACAATCTCAAACAAGTAAGTGGGGAGACCCAGAGCCCCAGGGCTGGCTGCACTCCCAGCGGCAGCTCTCAGCTTAACACATGTCCCCCCATGTGCAGCCATGGGGTCACATGAAGCTTAGGGCTGGGGTGATGTCACAGGCATGGTGCAAAGTGTGGGGTAAATGGCAAACATCACATGTGGCATCAACAGGTTTAGTAACACCCAGGTGTATCTACAGCCACAGGCTAGCACATGGAGATGAGACCCATGTCTGTGTTTGGCTGTGGGCAGCCCAGAGATGGAGTATCTGTTTAGTTCAGAGCCCCTTCTTCCCTGTGAGAGCTACTTATCTGTCCAGGTCTGTTTTGATGTGCTTTGTGCCAGGACTCGTCCTAGCTGTGTCCTGCTGCAGAAGAAAAGCAGAGAAGGGCTGAATTCTGGCCAGTTCTGCAGACAAAGCAGAAAGCACTTCTCCTGGGGTTGGGAAGGTTTCTAGCATACCTCACTGCTTTTCCTCCACAAATTGAGGCTGGTTCCACAGCTCCAGGAGGGATTCTTTCCAGATGAGGTGGGAGTTAGGGTGCAGCATCCTTCTGAAAGTATTTACAGGGCCCAAAAGGACTCAAATGACTTAATGTGTGCCTGAATTTTGACTTCTTGGCTTCATTCAGGCAAAGCCAGCAGGTGTCAGCTGCTGAGGCATGGGGAAAAAAATGCCAGGAAAAACTTCTTGGGCAGCAAAACAACAGTTTGTCCAGGGTTGACCGGCAGCCCTGTGTGAATAGTATACAGCACCCCTTACAGTTGTGTGTAACTGAGCCTTTGGAGGAGACCCCTGAAAACCTGCTGTTTTCATGGCTAAGCCTTTTTCTCAGGGATACATCCACCCCCTGATCAGGAGCATTAAAAAAGGCATTAAAAAAAAGTAGGATGCTCTGAGATCATCTCTCCATCCCTTCTCTCTTCCCTGTCCTGCCTTGATCCTCACCCTCTGCCTGAAGAGCTCCTGTAAGGAGCTGAGCCATGTTTGGGGATTGAACCTGGGTGATGCAGCATGCACTGCAAAAGGAAGGAGAGTCTCTGCTGCTCCTTGTGCCTGGGAAGCAAGTCAGCCTGCACTGAAGGGTACAGATGGGTTACACGCTTGGTCACTGCTGCAGAAAGAGGGGGCAAAAATCGCTTCTCTTCTCCCCCTGGACCCTGCCCTGGTTAAGGGCAAACAAGGCAAATGTGAAGCGATATCCATTTCCCTCCATCTGAGTTTCCAGAGCTGAGCATCAGCTCCTTTTCATTTGCTGGAAAGTGGATGCCAACAAAAGCATTCCCAGTTGCTCCCACCTCCTGTGGATAGTGCTTGGGTGGAGGGTGGCTGTATGCACTCTCCTGCTGGGGAGGCTTTTTCTTCCTCTCTTTTTGTGCTTTTTATTCCCATGAACAAGGCTGCATTTTGATCTCAGTCCAGCTGCAGAAAATGGCTTGAATTCAGCTGTACAGAGTGCACACAAAGGCTGGCCTGCTGGAGTAACCTCTGTGTCTCCCGCTATGCCCTGTTGAGATGTATTTGCTGGGGATGGAGGGATGAGCATCAGGTTCAAAGTGCCTACAGCCCTTCCAGGTCAAGAGGTGGATAAATAACCGTGAGGGCAAGAAACTTCTCTTCAACCAGACCAAACTGGGGGAGAGTCCAGGTCCAGATGCACCGGTCCATACTTCTGGGACGTGGTGAAAACCTGTCTGGAAACATGTTTCCATCTGGCTGTGGCAGCCTTGCTCTCATGTTTCAGTTTTAGCCCAATTTGCTGGTGAGAAGCTTATGCAGCTCCCCTGTCAGTCTCTCTCATCCCTCTTCCTCTAGGGATTTTTGACTCTATGGATGCTTTCATCCACAGCTGACACATGCATCTCAGGGGCAGTTGTCCTTGTGGTTCCTTAAAATTGGCTTTTTGGTCCCTGGCACAGCCCCTGGGGGAAGAGGTCCAGCCCTCAGCCTGGACCACTGAAGCAGTGATGCTGGTGCAGCACAGGCCCTGGGGTGTCAAAGTCCAGCATCCCTGAATATTGCCTAAGTCCAAACTAGTGCCAAACCATTGGAGAAACCCCAGATCTGCTTATGTTTGGACTTTGGACTGATGGGGGTGGGAAAGGGGTTGCTTTGTTCTCCTGTTTCCTCTGATTGCCCTGTCCTTCTCCATGCAGTGCAAGATGTCGGTGAACGGGCAGCGGGGCGAGTGCTGGTGCGTGGACCCCATCCATGGGAAGGTGATCCAGGGTGCACCCACCATCCGTGGGGACCCTGAGTGCCACCTCTTCTACACAGCCCACGAGCAGGAGGACCGGGGAGCACATGCCCTGCGGAGCCAGTAGATGGACGTGACCTGCTTGCTGGAGGCAGCTCGCCGTGGCCCCAGTGTTGGATTTTACATGGGTTTCAGCGTGTCTCTTTAAGCTCTGGAGGAGACTGGGGTTGGGTCCTGCGTGCTGCCCTCCTTCCCCTGCTGCCCAGCTCCTGGGGACAGGAGGGATGACAGGAGGGGAAGGGCGGTGGGGGGGGTTGCAAGGAGAAGGGACTGCTTTCCTATAGTCTTTCACCCAATGTAAGCCAGAGAACTGGTCTTTTTTGCTCCTCACCCCACAACCCTGCCCTCCCTGCTGCTTCATGGCATCTTCCTGCACCCTCCAGCACGGAGCGCAGTGTGCTCCTCAACACCTCCTAGGGGACAAAACCCCTTGCTGTGGGCAGGAGGGGGACAAAAAACAAAGGAAAAACCCCCAGCCTTTGCCCCTCTTGCCCTCCCTTCCCTGAGACCAAAGACTGTAAATACTGTGTTGCCTGCCTCTTGTGTCCCACTGGTCCCCTGTGCCCCAGCCTGGCCGTCGGTCCTGGCATGGGATGTGGTGTGGGAGGGAGGGAAGGAGGAAAGCCCCCGGCTTCCCAGCTGGAATGTGCTGGCGTGGCTGGGATGCAAGGAAGCATCAGTGAGGGAAAGGGCTAAGGATGAGACAGCCTGCCCCAAAACACCCCTGTGTGCTTTTCTTCCTGGGGCTGGGGTACAGCCACCCCCCCAGGGACCCAGCTTCAGCCGCTTGTCTGGGAGGATGGGACCTCTGACGGCGAAGCAACACGCTTGGTTTTCTGGGGGGTTTGAAGAGCTATTGCCCTGTATTTCTTAGGCTCAGCATATGCTGAGGGAGCTAAAGTGAACTTGCTGGGACTGGTGGAAGGATGCCTGTGTAGATTTAGGGTAACAAGCCAGGGCGTGTATCTTTTTCTCTCTCTCATTCATTCTTTCTTTGTTTCTAGATAGGAAAAAACCCATCTAAAACCTGCACTCCCAAGCAGCTGCCCTTGTCCCTCCATTTTCGCTTGGGACTGGAGTAAGCATCTGCTATTCAGCACACTTTTTTTTTTGTAAGTAAATTACAGTATATATCTTGCTTTGTAAAGGCCCTGACACACCCCTCCCTGCCCACACACACATGTGTATAGATTAAATCCAAGTGATTCCAGGTGCTCTGAGTGGTTTTGCGCTGGACATGCTGCTCTGAGGAGAGATGTCTCTGCTGTTATTTCACCTATTGATTTCTTTCTGTACAGAACACGCCAATGCTGAGAATAAATAACTTCCCTGTCGCCTAAGCAAGGAGATTTTACTATTTTCTTCCTTTTTCCTCCCTTCCCCCCCCACCTTAATATGGATACCATTTGCAGAGCAATTGCAAAAATCTTCATACAGTAAAAGTCTCAGGCTTTCCTTAAATGAAAGGGGGGTGGGGTGGAGGGGAAGGAAATAAAGCATCTCCCAATTTCTGGCAAATGCTTCTGAGTGGTAAACAGCCTCCAGCTCCCAGGTCCTCTGTGGGGTCAGTTGAATAGGGTGGCAGAAGGAGGTTCCCCAGCAAGTGTGGGATCTGGCTGGCAGAATGCTGTGCCTGTGCTGCACGCACCAGGCAGCCAAACTGCCTGATCGTGATCCGCCTGGATGGGACCAGCCCCTGGTAACTGCTGGCAAACCCCAGAAATGCCAAATGCTGCTGGAGAAACACCACATCAGGGTCCCTACTGCTGATTCCCCTTCATTTGGGGACTTTGATTTGGGTAAGGAAAAGCAAAAAGCTCAATGGGCTCTGGAGGAAGGGGAGCACTGGGGTTTGCTTCCCCCCCGCCCCGTCTGGGCCGTATTTCAGATCCAGAATGCAGAGGGCACACATGGTCTCCACAAATTAAGCACCTCACAACTTTGCAGGGGTTTGGATGGGGCAGTGGAGGATACAGGAAATGACCCCCTTTGGAAAGTCAGGGGCAGGGGTGTGTACATGTGGATGTGCATGAGAGGGAGCGAGAGCACAGAGAAAGGAAACACACCTGCATGCAAAGCCAAGTAACTGTAAAAATGCTACCTGTTTTCTCTTAACATCTGAGGGTGTTCTGCTTTTTCACTAAGCCTTGCACACGCTGGCTCTCATCTGCAGTTTGTACTTCTTGTTTTGTTTAGGAATCAGGAATTTTTCTTTTGTGTTTTTCTTTTTCTCTTCTTGGAAAAGCTGAGCTGCATAAAGTTGGAATAAATTAAATGGGATGCCAGAAAACTGTCATCTTCCCACTCCCCTCTGTTCACAGGACCCGTTTCCTGATGCATCACATGCAAATTTGGGCTTGTTCAGCTTTTGTCCTGGGGGTGTTTGAGCAGTGGGCTGGACAAGCAGCAATGGGAGTTGAGCCTTTTGTCATTACTGAGCACAGTTGGATAAGTGGGGAGGAACTGATGTCACTTGTTTGCTGGCCTGCTATGTTCCTGCTCTACACATAGTACCTTGTGAGTCCGCAAAACACAGCCATACCCTTGAGTCCTTTTGAGCCGATGTCTGGCCAGCAGGTGTGTGGAGGTGACCTCCCTGCCTGACAGCGGATAGATTTGATGGAAAAGGGTGGGTTGTGTCTTGCTTTGCTGGGCAGGGAGGACGGCAGTGTGAATACCCTGTCCGACATGATACTCGTAGAGCTCCCTCAGCTGCCGAGAGGCTGTGTGAGAGTGGTAGTTTCCTCCTCCTTGAGCAGGGGAGCAGCTTTGCAAGGGAAGGTCCCTCTTACCTGGCGCAGGGACCTCGGGGACCTTGGCAGGTGCTTGGGCAAAGGCTATAAGGAGAAGGAAACCCTGCTCTTTCCAGCTTCCCAACCCTGGTATTTCAGGGGCTTCTTGAGTTTGTAGTTGCATCTAACTGTGCTGTTTATTAGCTGACAGATGGACCTGTGTCCATGAATCATCCAGGCTCCTTCAGGCATCTCACTATGGTTTTGGTCTCCTCTGCACTCTGTTCCTTGTCTGAGTAGGGCACTGCAGAGGCAGCCTTCCAAGGGTTCACTCTTCCCCTTTGCTTGATGCTCAAGTAGAGCAAAATTTGAGCCAGCTGAAAAGCCAGTCATAGTGCTTCTGTGTGGTCTTTGCCCAGAATGGGCTGCTGGGAAGGTGCAAGAAGGCCTGGGCTGCATGTGGAATCGGGGCTTGGCTGAGTTGCTCCACTCATGGGGCCATGGAGACAGGTCCCTTGAAGGTCTTGCACCTTCTCCAGGGGTGAGAGGTGCTGTCTAAGGGAGCATGATGGCACAGCTCAGTGCTTGGGGAACCACAAGGAGGCAAAGAATAACAATTAAAAAAACCCCACAACATGCTATACTCAATTAAAATTGCAGCATTGAAGGAGGAGAGGCTCTGTGTGACCCCAACAGCCAGCATCCAGGTGGCTGTGGTTTCCCTTTGGCCTCCCCAAAGGACAGCATAAACCATGGGGCTGCTTCCCCATCTATTTTTTCCTACCTTGTGCCAGTATGTTGAGTGGGACCAGTGCATGCCGAGGGGCTGGGCAGGTGTGGGGAGCACCAGGAAAATGCCTGGGTCTGGGAGGCAGTGAGCTCATGGGGCTGCAGGGGAGGCGGGGAGGGCAGGCAAGATGAGGGGTGGGATATGAGCTGGAGAACGTGGGAAACAGAGCGAAGTTAATGTTTAGTACTATCCTGTTTTGGGCCCCTGGTGGCAGGTGGCTCAGGAGCTGCTGTGGGGGTGATGCTAAGTAGCACCATGGGGTATAAGTGTGCTCCAAGCCAGGTGCTGCCCAGGGAGGACTGGGGGTGGCAGAGGTGCCTGAGCCCAGCCATGCCTGGGGCCACCCTCCAGTTCAAGGGCTGGATGGGAACAGGACCCTCAGCCCAGCAAAGGGAGCTTGCAGCTGGCCAGAGGGACAGCAGTAAGGTAAGGGGAGCAAAGAGCTGCTGGTTAGGTTTTCCCAGGGTTGGCCTTGAAGGATGCCTGTGTGTGCATGGGTTTGATGGATGTCACTGCTTGGATCGTGGCTCTGGGGTTTTGTCTGGGCCAACTTTGTGCCTCCTGGGTTCTAGGTAATCGGGTGTGCAGTCTGGCATTGGGACCTGGCCAAGTGCACATAGGGTAGTAGCGGAAACCCCAGCAGCTCTGGTGTACACACACAAAACTATCTACACTGCCAAACAACAATTTTAGTATAGCATAAAAATTATGTACTTAAAATAATATTTAATAGAATATCATTAGTGTAAGACTATGACCGTATCTGTGTACAGCTATAGCTATCTACATACATGCACACAGCTATAGCCTGTGGGTAGGAGTATGATGGGGAGGGGGAAAAGAGCCCTAACTTTTTGGGTGGAAAGCCTCTTTTCAGTGCCTGTGTGGCTGAAAGCAGCAGCACTGCCAGCGCTGCCTCCCTGCCCGGCAGCGCCGGCAGCACAGGCAGCACAGGCAGCGCCGCCTGGTGCTGGCT